ACAAAGCATGGCAAAATGTGAAAGTGGCTATGTCAGTGCCGTCCAAAGTTGCCTGTTCGACTTTTCGGATACAATGCAATGACCACTGAATACTGTCTACATCGCTAGTCCAAGTGATGTCAGGAAATCCATACATTTCATCTTATTCCGCTCTAACGCGCAAAAGTATCATCTTGACGACAAGTGAATTGCTAGATCCCACTGGAACGAGATGTCTCAGCGGTTAGAGCACAAATTTACTAACCGGAAGGTCCGTGGTTCGAAACCGACCTTTAGATCTCGACTTCCCCTGTCTAAGCTTGGGCAACCTGACAGTTAGGCACCGAAAGGGTGCTAGAGCTGAACGATTATTTATAAGTATTTTATTATTTACCGATACAAACGTCCCTTGAGAGTGATCACGTGATAACATGCTTACGTCTCCAAGAACACTCGAGTTGATGAGTTAATGTTGTATGTTTGCTCTGTACTTCAAAACGTTTCATTGTTCGTTGCTAAATCACTTTTTATCCATATCAGCTCGCAGTGTCAAGGTTTGGGATGAATAAAGCCTAGCTTCTTGGCCCTCAGTCTGTTTCGATCTTATTTTAATTGTCGTCGCACTCCATCCTTCGTCGAACACAACAGTCAGATAACACCAGAAGTGACGCAAACCGACAAACGTGTCCGGACCTTCGTGCAATAACTCAGTTAGACACTGTCTTCAGAATTAACACTCAGCAAAAGCATGTGAAACTCTTCGCAAACTCCAGTGCTCCTCCTTAAATTACAAGAGGAATGTTCAGAGACTGCACATCTTGGGGTATCGCCTTGCACTTTATGGATGGCAGGCTTACACCGAAAAATTACACTTCGGTAATCATTTTATTTAACATGCCTTCGTCTTTAGATACTGCAACGATGTCATTCTCGTACTCCAAAAAGACAAGATTCTCACCAGCAGAGGCTTGAACACAAGGGATCGGTTTAACTTCCAGTGTTCGTCTCGTTATTTTGTCGATAATGAAGATGAGAAAGAGTGGACAACATTGCCGGAGACTTCTTATAGGTAGGCTCTTAGAAGTGCTCACACACTCTCACTGCTACGGAGAGAGTCTAGATCCTAAGTGAGCGAGAGAACAGGTTGGATAGCAAACTATTTGTCTAAGAATAAACGTACATAAACTGAAAGTAAGGGCGGAGCATGGTTAATACGAAGCGGTAATGTGAACGCAAAGGATAGCCATGACATTCAACCAGGCCGTTGGAATGTATGTCATCATCATCATCATTGTGTGTGACTCGAACACAAGGACTGAATGAAGATTGATTGTAGAAGTTTACCAAAGGGTAATAAAAGGTGTGGTTAGGATTCTCGGTTTCTGAAAATGTAGGGTTGTGTATGTTTCTGAAGCCCAGCTACAGAGATGTCAGGGTCATGTGTATTCAAAGATGCAGGTGCGTCTTTAACACTATCGAGCGGAGGCGCGTGTGATTCACGTAGAAAGGGTTATAAGCGTCCTTGCATTCACTGGATTAAGAACGCGTGAAGTCGTTGATAAATGTGTGGTCACTATAAGGAGCAATGTGGCGGACGGATACAGTGCATTCCATTCCGCCTGGAAGACATGAATGGGTGTAATATGGACTGTATTTCATAACTTCGTCTCATACTTTGAGGCACAGTCACATCGTTTCAGAGAAACAGGTCAGGTGAAAATTAGCTAGGTTGGTATGAACAAAGCACAGAGTGACCGGCGTTCAAACCAAGACATATGTTCATGTGGAACGCAATTTGTGGAGATGCAGAGAAAAGACTGTTTGATAGAGCCGACTCCCTTTGATGGATTTGAAGGCTTTTCCCCTTAAGCCTAAAGTGAATTGCACTCCAGAGTGTCATGTTGAAAACTTCGACTTGCCCGTTTCCCTTAGGATTATGAGCAATAGTTCAGCTGGTACAAACTCCTGTCATGTTAAGTTGGTAGTGCTGCATGAATGAGGAGCCACGTTCCGAATGAATATACACAGGCATACCACACAAAGAGAGCAGTTCACATAGCAATTCAATAATGGTAGATGCACATGTGTCTGCAAAGGGAAACGCAAACAGAAAACGGAAAAACTCACCAACGATAACAAGGAGATAGCAGTTGAGTACCAGAAAGCAATGCTAATTCGTTCGAATGGCTGAATCGCTTTAATGAGCGTATTGGGGTAGGGGGTGGTTTATAAAATTGGGGTTTGATGGCGAAACAAACCATACGGTTTGAAGTGGTCTCATCTACACCTAGGACGGGAGACGACAAGTTTTCGGACGGAAGAAGGAATCACGAAATCTTTCACCTCGTCAGTACCGATCACGTGGGCGCACAGGTTACGAGATAAGGTGTCAACCACCAGGATCTTTACCAGATCTGTAGCTAGCTTTGTAGCTAAAGGCGGAGAGTTTCATTTTTCATAGCTGCGTTTTACCGCTTTCTGCGGCACCGTACATAAAGGAAGCCGACCGCTGGTAGGTGATAAGCTTCACTTGTTTCCCGAAAAGATAATGTTCCCAGTTACAGGTAGTCATGACACATACTTCCGGAAGTATGCAAGTATGGGGACCGAATTAAGTTCACACAGTTCTGAGGTGTACTTCATCGAAAAAGTGTAATTAGAAGCACCAATCGATCGACGGAATCGAAAGCATTCTTATAATCAACGTAGGTCGTCTGTAATTAGGGCGATGTGGCCTCTATCCGGTCCAAATGTCACTTGTTGCCCACGGATCAAGATCTCCCTTGGTACAATGGGAGTCAAACAGATGTCCTGTGGCTACTACGTTTACTACAACTATGCTTTATTAACATGGGCATTGTCTACTCACCTGTTGGTTGGGGCGGTCCCCTTCTCTCAGATACCCGCAAATAGGCCAGACAAGGACTGATTGAAAGACTCATCGCCATTCTCAAACACAGCAAGTGGAACGTCGTGGAGACCCGAATAACAGTGATGTTTGATTTATTGAATGGACTTTACTGACCAGAAGGTCCGTGGTTCGAGCCTGGACTCTGCATCAAAACTTCTCATGTCTAGGCTCTGATAACCTGGTAGCCTTAGTGTTTCCTTCCGGGGCATGGTGGCTAGGCAATAAAAGGGTGCTGCAACTGATTGACGTTTAATTAGGAAGGTACATCCGAAAAATTCTGAGGTTGAGAAGAGCTCAATGTTCACAGCCCACCTTTATGCCAAAGGCAAAAAAACCGGATTGGATTATCATTCAGCCAGGATTCATTCAGGATTATCATCCAGTCTAACAGATCAAAGGTTCTTCTTTGCTGGATCCCAGGGAGCCATTATGGTACTTGAAGACTCCACCGATAAGAGGCTTCCAGAGACCCTTATCCTACTTCTTCAGATCCGCCTGCCCGTAGAAGCTACGTTCCTGGTTCATAAAGCAGTATGAACCGCACCGCCACAGCGTATACTCCGCTCATGACAGAGGCCGTCATATGTATCGGAGATTGGGAAAGCCTGTCTGGCCTTCTTGATTCAAAAAGGGATCTTGTCCCCAGTCAGCCAACTGGAACTTATACAACTATCCAGGTAAACAAAGTTCTCTTCCATATCCACTGGTTCGTGTGCAAGTATGAGGTTGGTGTTCGATCTCACCAGCATTGTAACAGAGATCAACGTTTCGCCGGTGTAAAGTGCATACCAACACATGAGGAATAATTATTTAGATTACTCAAAATGGTTTCCAAGGGGAACAGTACCTACGCTCCTGTGTGTCTACATAAAAGATGAAAGCTTAGAAGAGACATCAACCATCAAGGGATTCCATAGCTTCTGTCAATCTAAAGCCTTCAGATCAAGAAAACTGATCAGCGCGGGGCGTTCGAAAGGGCGGTCCTGTAAAGAAAACCAATCTCAGGGTAAAGGTATGGTTTTTGTAGCCTCAGCCAGGATGAATCCTGACGTGGCTATCACGAAACTGTTCGGCCCCATGGTCGACCAACCTGCGCAAAATGAAGACAGAGAACACCTTAAACATTACGGCTGCCAGCGTGGAATTCTTACACCCCTTCGAAGATTGGGACAGCCGTCGAAATATTCCGTTCCATCGGTACTATGTTGTTCTTTTGAATCCTCCGTAGTAGGGCCGTCATAATGCTAACCGCGGCTTCACCACCTTCGAAAAGTGCAAGGCGCAGACCATCCGGTCAAGGTACCTTGTCCGGTTGGAGGGTTCACATCTCAAGCTGGATATGGAAGTCTAATATCGATGTTCTATCCAGGCAGATCAGGTCCTTTTACAGACTGTTTCGATGGGGATCAGCTGAACTGTTCTGTACCACCACTATCATCAGCATCGACAGCGTGACATCAGTGTTCAAGACCGATGCTTCACTACTGTACAACCATGATTCAGTTGAAAGCCTTATTGTAAAGAAAAGAATAACGGTGAATGGGGAGGGGACTTACCGCTAGATTACCAATCACTCCGAGGTACCTACACCTCCATACATTAACTCAGGCAATCTGAATAGAAACTGACAACAGGAACGCCACTGACATCGGTTGGCAGCCATATCTTGTAGTGTCTCCAACCAGGCACAGTGAGGATCACGCGGTCCCCATCCTGGAAGGCGAGTAGCACCGACAGCACCCAGGCGTTTCGTGATCCCCTTCATACTCTTCTGCCAAATCAAGGGTTTGTCACCTTTCTGCTTACGTCACTTTGAATTGGGCATGGAAAACAGCACCCTCTTCGGCAAACGATGGTTCGGCACACACAAGACATGTCCCAACCAACACAGCTTCTGGTGCTGGACATATTCTTCAATGGATGTACCCATGGCACAAACGGAAACGCGCTTTCTAACTGTCTCATTACGGATTCGCAGGCACGAACCCACGCGAGCTGCGGTTATGAGACTACGATTGTTGAACACGTGAAGAAGTCTCAGTTCCGCTGCTCGAATAGGCCAAGTCTCAGCCGCACAACGAAACAGCCCGCACAGTACTTTGATACACACGTCCATTGAGATTCACGGATAAACCATTCTGACGCCATAGGGGTTTCAAATTAGCAAACGCTATCCGAGCCTTGCAGATTCGTGCATTCACCTCATCTGTCACACTACAATCAGAACTAATACAACTTCCAAGATAAGTAAAACGCTCCACAATTTCCAATACCTCTCCCTGGATTGTAAGTGGCGTGTTCAATGACTGCACGTCGACGAGCATGACCTTTTTGGGTGCAAATTGCAAACCAAAGGACGGGATGACTTTGGTCATTTCATCCAAAAATACTCGCACCTTCCCCCCCTCTTCGAAGATGAGAACGATGTCGTCTACGTACTCCAGATCGACAAGGTTTTCTTCACAGGATATTTGAACACCAGGGTTCTGGAGACCCTTATTATTTCTTATTATTTCATCTATCACGAAGCTAAAAAAGAACCGGCAGAATGGGCATCCCTGATGTACACCACTTTGTGTACGAAAGCTTTTGGAGAGCCGTATACTCTCACATGTCCCGGAGCCTGAGAATACAAAGAGCTTATTATGTTCACGAGCTTCCGTGGCATTCCTTAGTGGGCAAGCGTGTCAAGGAGAACAGACCGGTCAACCGAGTGAAAAGCGCCTTGGAAACCCAGGAACACAAGAATACTGGGTCGCTTATACGTATGGCGTTCTAGCACCTGACGGAGTAGGAAGATTTGGTCAACGCAACCCTTACCAGGCCGGAATCCCGCTTGCTGCCCTCGAGTCAATATCTCATGAGTCACCGTAAAGCGACGAAGCACAAGTAACGCCAACAGTCCCGTTATGACCGGGGTCAAGCCGACCCCCTGCGGTTACCACACTCACTACATGACCCTTTTTGAAAATGGGCACTATCACCGATTCTCCCCAGTTGTCTGGGGCAGACTCCTTTCCCAAAATGCAAGCAAACAAGTCAGACAAGCGTTCACTGAAAACTTCACCCCCGTCTTTGAACGGTGCGGGTGGGAGGTCATCCGGACCGGGAGCTCAGTGGCGCTTGAGAGAACATATGCAGTCGTAAACCTTCGAGGCCATAGGTGGTTCCACGTTTACCGTCCAGAATTATATTTCACCTGTGGGCTCTAGATGAGTGCCAGCTGGTGGTCACAAAAGTTGTTGTTCGAAGTATTCAGCCCACCGGTCGTTCCAGTCTGATGCTTGATGGTTCCACTCACAGATTATTTCCGGGGACCGGTCGCACGGATCAACTGAAATCATCTTCGAGTATTAGCACCTTTCTGGGCCTCTTCTATTTCTTTGGCTTTCTGTGTCTCCCATACATCATGGTCGGCTCGCACGCTCACTTTCACTTGATGTCTGATAACGCTTTGCACGGGGTTATGTTCGGGACCGGCTGGGATAGTTCTAAGAGATTTAAGCAGTGTCACCGTTCAGTCTGATATATAGTGCTTGGATGCGCCTGGTTGGGTCGTGCCACAGGATAAAATCCCAGCACTATGCAAAGAGATGGCAATCACGTCCCAGTATCATGGTGGGTCATTTGAAAGAGACTATGAGATGATTCTGGTAAATTCGCCTAGCATCCTGTCCGGAGGCCAGCTGTCCCTAATAACGAAAACCACATTCGGACGGACGTCACGTGCAGGATACGGATCAAACTTAGTCATGCTCTGATTGGTCAAAATGCCAGCCAATCTGGATCCAGCATCTTTGACTCGACGCTTCTCGCCCCCTGACTGAGATTCTAACACGATCATGTGAGTCATTCGGTTATTACAGTTGTAATGAGTTCTAATGATTACAGTCGTAATGATTCTCCTGCCTAGAGCTACCGTGCCTTTTGATATACCATAGTGAGCGTAACAGGAAGCCAAGGGACCGATAGAGTTCACGGATTCACGGATTGATACACAGGACCGAGGTTTTCGCCCAAGTTTCCGGGGTCGCTTTTGTTCTTGTCGGTCAGTGGCTGTCGTTCACCTGCAAGGCACAAGTGGAACAAGGGTGTAGCACTACTCTTTATGTTCTCAGCGTGGAGAGTATGCTTGCCAGCGCGAGGATTCTCATAAATAAATGTCTGATAGTGCTTTAAACTGGGTTCTAGGGGGAGGGTGAACAACCATCGGAGGAAGGTCATTCCACGCACCTACTACCCGAAATGAGAAAAAAATTTTGTCTGATGAATGTGTGTGCTCCGAGCTTGAAAATTTCTCACTATGTCCCCGCGTGTTTGCCGGGTCAACAGTGAAAAAACTGTTTGCCAAGCTTTGTTCAGACAGGGCATAAGTAAGAATTAGGTCCCCTCGGAGGCGACGGTACTCTAGAGAAAAGAAATCAAGCATTGCGAGACGCGCTTCGTAGTCCACGGATTTGAGGCTAGCAACCATTCTAGTGGCGGCTTGCTGGACACGCTCAGTGAGGGTGACGTCTTTCGTGTGTTCTGAGTAGGCAACTTGGTTGGCGTATTCCAGGAGCGCTCTGACGTAGGCCCCATAGAGTATTTGGAAGTCCATGCGAGTAATACGGGAGAAGGTGCATCGGATCATCCGTAAAATGGCGAATGCCTTTTGGGCCGATTGCTCATGGCGCAGTGAGAAGGACAAGTTTGAGGAGACCCAGGTGCCCAAATCCTTTTTGGAATCTATCCTCATGATGTTTCCTGGTCCATTCTCAACACGCATAACGAAGGCATTCGCTGAGTCTCCTCAAAATGACATACGGACGCACTTTTCATCATTCAGAGGAAGGTGACAGTCCGACAACCACTGGTTGGCAGCGTCTACATCCATTTGGAGGGCACTGGCATTGGAACTCCAGGATTTCAAGTCGTCCGCAAAAAGTAGACATGGACTTGCAAGAACATCTGAGAGGTCGCTGACGTAGATCAGAAACAGCATTGGTCCCAGAACGGAGCCTTGATGGACTCCAATGGAGACCGATGCTGGAGAAGAGTAGATTGAGTCTATTCTCACTCGGAATGATCTGTCTGATAGGAACGCCTTGATCCAATGAAGGCTTTCCCCTTGGATTCCGTAAGACACGAGTTTGTGGAGTAGCGGGACGAGCAGTGGGACCCTATCAAATGCTTTTGAGAAGTCGAAAAATATGGCATCCTATATGAGTCCTTCGTCCTTGGCTTGAGTTAAGCTGTCCATAAACACGAGCATGTTTGTTATGCAAGAGCGGTGTTGGAGAAATCCCTGTTGAGCTGGAAATCTCAAGTTTTTGGAAGAGAGCTTATCTAAGATAGCTCCCTTCAGAATGCATTCCGTTACCTTGCACAACACTCTAATGATGCTTTCATAGGCCTGCAGCTCCCAGGCGGCCACCAGTTTTGTAGATTGACTTGACAATCGCTTCCTTCCAAGCGGAGGGAAGGCGGCCTTCGTCAAGCAACTGACGAAACACCAGGTGTAGATAAGTTGCCAGTATGGAGGACGTTTCATTCAGGATCCTTGGATGGAACTCGTCGGGCCCCAAGAGTTGATCTGGTGCAAGAGTTGACGAATCCTTTCCACCGTGAAGACCAAGTCGGTTAGAGGCTGTTCGTAGTTCCCCCTTGACAAGTGTGGATGTGACGAAGTAGTTGGGGCTGGGTATAGACACGCATAGTGTTCCCTGTAAACCTCAGATACCACTGTTGGGTCATTCGTTGGTTCTTCGTTCCTGTCCCTCAAGGAGAACGCAGATGGCAGTTAGTTATTAGTCCACGCCATCGGCAACTGATGGTAGTGTGGTCGATTTGTGTTTGTGGCCAACAGACCGCTGGAAGGCACCATGTCGCCAGACGAATTCGGCTATTTCGGAGGTTGGTGCTGCATAAAAACAGCCTGCGGTCAGCACACAGCCGAAGCAATCGTTCTTCATGGTCCGTACGTACCTAGTCCAATCCACGTCGAACTCCTAATTGAATCCGAGGTACACTAAGCATGTCCAATTGCGTATTCATACCTCCCGCAACTGCGATGACTGGGGTTTCAGCTCGTCGTATGTGGGTTTTCATCGCGTCGTACAACTTCTCTGATGGCGTCGGAGCTACAGTCGGTTGGGGCGTAGGCGAACAAGATAAACGGACATCTATAGAACTGTCGCTCGTGAGACTGATTCACAGACATTACCAGTCAAACGCACGCAGGCGATTATCAACAGGTATCCAGTCAAGTAAGGATACTTCCGCCCGGTGATTTAGCACAATACCAACCCCTGCACATCCAACCGCAGCAGCCTCTGGATCACCAGATGTGCACAGCCGGAAGCGAGTGGAGACTGACGGGGTGGTTAACTCAATCACTCTGGTTGCATCTTGGATTCTCGTTTCTGAGACACAGCACGCGTCAATGTCAGGTGAGTTCAGTGTGAGTACAAGAGCAGTTTGTTATTCTGCTTGCTTCAGAATGCGGAAGTTGAACGCGGCCAGATAGACTGGGTGTCGAGGTGAGTTCAGTGTGAGTACAAGAGCAGTTTGTTATTCTGCTTGCTTCAGAATGCGGAAGTTGAACGCGGCCAGATAGACTGGGTGTCGAGGCTTGAATTCTGATAAGGAGATACCTGAGGCTGTCGGCGCTGTGACGAGCAGACGCTGCGCTCAAAACCGATGCATAACAAACGGAGACACCAGTCCTAAATGCTAGACCTACAAGGTTTGAATCCAACTTGACCTTATGATAATTCCCCCATTCGTTTGCTAGCTCCGCCTATGTATTTTCTGATCTCTAGTTGTTTTGCTTATTCGTACCCACCACTCACCTTGCCGCAGAGGCCATCATTTCCGACGCTTGTGTTTTGACATTTGTGTCTGCGTGTGAATGTGCGGTGCTGACCTACTTACCCATGCGCATTCCTGTCCCGTTTGCTAAGCCTGCCTTGACTTGTTTTCTCATGGGTTCTATGTGATCGCACGTCCAATAGGAATCACGAGACCGTCGTCGGAGGGAACGACCGCAACTCACGCTACTGAGCGGTCATTCCGCTCGCCGTTGTTTGGTGTGCGGACTCTGACACTGCACTGTGCCGGTCAGTGACAGACCTGTAGACTTGTTGACGCCACGAACGTGAAAATTTGAGGTTTGTTGTACACCTTTGTTTACCCTCGTGTAAATAGTACCGTAGAATCACGAACCCAATTCTTCCCTTTGATATTCAGGATTTTCGAACATACCAGTCACTCAAAGTTCCGTATCGGGGACCTCAACACAAGGAGAGAGTTATTAGTGGGGTGAGGAGAGGGGGAAATTACGTGAAAGAGAAGGGAGGAGTCAGCAGTAATCTGTTTTCGCTCACACGCTTCGGTGTCTGCAGCAATTAAGATGATCCGGCAGTTGGCACCACCCGATGGCGGATGTAGCCTGAGTTTATTGTTAGTTGCAGATCTCACGGTTGTACGAGGGCTTGGATACTGCCAGGGTACCCGAACCTAGACAGGAGGACGGTTAGAGTTCTCAACCGAAGTCTGTCTCAAAAGCCTAACCGCAAGGCAGCTGTGTCTGGCAGGAAATGCAAATGCATTACCATTTCTACGGAACAATTCCCCACATGTTCCAACCGCAAACTGGAGGCCAGGAGACTGTGTTTGTCAGACCTCTAACCAACCTGGTACGGGAGACTCTGTGAGTATCACGGGGACAGTCGCAGTACAGCTCAATGGAAAGCCGAGGTGCGCAAACAGTCACACCACGTTAAGGTCAAGTCTCTTCGTGACAGAACTGTTCTGTACGTATACAGTCTATCGCTCCCGATGGCAATTCAGTGAACGAATCGCCACCCTATCTGTTAGGCAGATTGCTCTGTTGACACCCGTCTTCTTTTGTCCGGTTAATCGGACAAGCTGAAATGGAACGCCGATGCTACCAGCGCCGAAAGTCCCTTTCATTGTGTGAAGTTTCATAATCCACCATCGTGAGTGATCTGTACGCGCCATCGTAGTCACTTATGTAGCTTTTCTGAAAACGATAAGATCTGCTGAACTCAGCGTTACGCTGTTCTGCATTGGGTGAGTCGACAAGCCCAAGTAGACGGTTCCAACATCTATGGAATGGCTTCTACTCTTTCCACTTCATCACTTAATCAGTTTACGTGGTCGGCGTAACGACGCGTCCCCGGTAGCTTTCCAGGGGTCTGCCAAAATGCTACCTGGAGCTACAGTGCCTTTTGATTACCGTAAGGGGCGCAGCAGGAAGCCAAGGGACACACAGATTTGCACCACCGTTCATCAGGACACAAAAACTGGCGGTGTCAATTCCAGCAAAGCAGCGCCAAACAATTTGACAGCAGCAACAGTAGCAGTTTGAAGAAGCTCAAATGGGTTTTTGAATCTCTGGTATGCAGTATGTTGGTGAATGCGATAAAACAGCCGGGCTGCTCCTGTCAGCTGGAATATGTAATGCAATTTCAATGCTGAATCGGGGCGAGCTTTCAAAAGTTAGTTCAAGAAATATGAGGACATGTTTCAGACCGACTTTGCTCAGTTTGCTGATGCATGTAAAGTTTGAATGTAGCTGTGAAAATTGAGGAAAGCTGAACATGATCGTTTCGCAACTTTCATACTCTCTCAACTCCCCCGTGACTTTGCTCTCGCAGATGCTGTGAAAATCCTGGGCCAAGTATTCGATGAGCAAGTTTCCTTGTTCAGAATTCGTTATCGGTGTCACATGACTGCTTAAAGGGAACCTGAAGAATGCATCATTTATGCCGGTGTGGTAAACAGAGAATGCGAGCGCATTCATCTCAGCGACATGACCTAGGATCAATTCAAGTGTTCTTTCTCAGTGGCTGGACTTCAATCACCATATGGTTCAGATCTTTGGACCCGGCTACCGAATCGAACTGAACGGAATCTAGAGTTGACGCTTCAGAAACTCACCACCGAATGTCATTATTTTATCAGTCCCAAGGCTGCTGCTGTAATGAGTACACATTCCAGACTCTCTCAGCCTAGTGTGGTATGCAAAATAACTTCCAGAAAGAAACCAAATTCTAAACTAACTCCAAGAAAACCGCCCAGAACCTGTTGGTCTTGTAAAGAATGGTATTATTCACGCCACTGTTCCCACCAAAACCACAGGTGCAGTAAGTTTTTTCGAAAGTGTCACAAAGAAAACTGCTGCAGAAACAACTTCAGGAGCTCGCGAAAAAACCGACCGGAAAAAAGGTGCAGGCGGTGAGCATGACCGCTACATTCAGGATGGAATCACATGGCCAACGTAGGTTCATTACAGTATGTATCAGTGGCACACCGATTAACCTCCAACTTTATACAGGTTCTGACCTCACTTTGAGCTCAAAACAAACGTGAGACGTAATGGAATGTCCATCAGTGGAACCAACAAAGTGCACCGTTTGTAATGCATCTCTTGGAAGCCTAAAACTGACCGGGAGGCTATACTGTTTCGTATCTTTCGATGAGTACTTGCTACCTCACGAAATATATAGGCCTGTGTTGGATTAATGCGCTCCAACTCTTGGATTAAACCCTCAATGCCGTTTACGACGAAACACCTGCAGACGGCCGCAACACGTTCACGAGAAATCCACATCATGAGGATTTTGTGGTCACCACAGCTAAAGTCAAAACTGGAATCAGAAGAGTATACTCGATGCAGTGACTATTCAGCCCTTGATGTCTTTCACCGGTAGCCCTCTTGCTTCAGTCCATTCTGGTAAATCCTGTCAGAAACCTGCAACA